ACACACACACACACACACACACACACACACACACACACACACACACAAATACTGAAGAAAATAATACCTTAAAAAATAGACCAGGCTTTCTCCTGGGGCTGGGCTTCCCGGCCTGGTGCCGGCGCCTGGGAAGATGCAGTGAAGCCCCTCCCGCCGGCCCCGCCCCGGCCCCCCTCCCCATCCCTGCCGCCTGTGGGACCAGGCTCTGGCACAGCGGGGCCTGGCGGCGGCTCTGGAGGCAGCGGCTCGGGAAGCGGCCGCATCCACCGAGGTGGTGGCCGAGCACGCGCCCTGACCTCCGCCTTCCCGGGGTCCCTGGAGCCCTAGAGAAGCAGCAGGAAATGCCAGACGAGGCGCTCTTCTTGAGTCTCCAACCAGATGGTGACCACCGGCGTCTACAAGTCCGCGGATCAGGGGGAAGCTGGAGAACATAGGTTTAGAGTAGGACAAGGGTTGCTAGAAAGGTTTACAAAGGACTCCTCAAGGTTCAAGGATGAATTAAATATCATGAAGTTCATTTGCAAAGATTTTTGGACCACTGTTTTCAAGAAACAAATTGATAATCTAAGGACAAATCATCAGGGCATCGGTATGCTTCAGGACAACAAATTTCTACCCTTGACTCAGATGTAGGCAGGAAAACAGTATTTAGGTCATGCTCCTAAGTATTTAGCATTTACATGTGGCTTAATCAGAGGTGGCTTATCAAATTTGAGGATAAAAAGTATTGTGACAGCTGAAGAGTCAGCAATGCCAGCGTGTGAATTCCAAGTGATGATATAGAAGATGTAGCATGTACTCAAATGCTTCTACAATGTAAAGAGATTAAATTATTCGTGTATAAAGATTTTGTAATTTTTGACTTACTGGCATTGTCATAAGTTTCTATAGTACACTGATTCATATAAGCTATATGTTAATTTATTAGATGATGTAATATGCACTCTCAAATAAGATTACCATAGTATATATATACATATATATGTATATGTGTATATATATATACATATATATACATATATATATACACACACACACACATATATATATCTCATCTGATGGAACAGATGAGTATCAAAGAAAATTTTGCTGAGACACTACACTGTAGCTATTTATCACAGTATACCAAATTCAACTTTATTTCATTAAAAAATTTATTAAGTAAGCACAGCAACCAAGTAACAACATTTCTTTGTGCTTCTGCTTTACTGGTTCATGATAATATTTATTTGGCATTGAAAAGGAGGACAAACTTAAAGTCTTACTAAATTAGTAGAGAGAAAAAATTATCATTTGTATCCATTTTTTTTCAGGTCCAGAAAAAAAAAAAGACTAAATTGGATTTTAAAAAAAGTTGGAGGTATATGTTAAAATGAGTAATTTTCATATTTGTATGAAGAGGCTTTGTAGTTTAAGTCTGCTCATGGCACTACAAAAAGTGAGACTGGAAGAAGATTTCTGGGTTCAGCAAGGGTGGAAAGAAAGGAGGTAAATCTTTGAAAGAAATCAGATGAAGGAAATTAAATTGTGAGTTGGATACTAGATTAGATAAATGGTTAAAGGACTATCTCTAAAAATACATGAGACCAATCAGGATGACTCTTCACATGCAAAGGTTACTTGTCCAAGTCAATTTCACTACATTCAAGTAATAAATAATTAAGAATGTCTATTCTTCATACTAGGTAATAGGAATATTCAGTTCCAGCAACTTTAAACATGTTGCACATGTTTAAAATCTCTTTTATATTAAGTACCCCCTATGGGTTTACCAGGGCTATGTAATAAATATTGTTTGATTTCTTTAAAAAAAAAAAATAGACTAACCTAAATGGCAAAAGAGGTCCAGAAAGTCAATGAGAAGTAGAATGTCTTAAAAAACAGAACTGGCCAAATAGAAAAGGAGGTACAGAAGCTCACTGAAGAAAGTAATTCCTTAAAAATTAGAATGGAGCAAATAGAAGCTAATGACTTTATGAGAAATCAAGAAATGATTCAACAAAAACAAAAGAATGAAAAAATAGAAGACTGTGAAATATCTCATTGGAAAAACAAGTGATGTGGAAAATAGATCTGGGAGAGATAATTTTAAAATTATTGGACTACCTGAAAGCCATGATCGAAAAAAGAGCCTAGATATCATCTTTCAAGAAATAATCAAGGAAAACTGCCTTGGTATTCTCAAATCAGAGGGCAAAATGAAAACTGGAATCTGAAACAGTCAATCCCCATGTCATTTATCACTCTTCAAATCATCAGAAAAAAATGACATGGGGATTGACGCTGGAGGTTAATATCAAAGAGAAATGGGAGAACTTCACACCATGGGACACCAGACTCCAAATTGGGATTATATCATAACTCTCTAAGGGATTATCTTGCCTGCGAAATTTACTTGAATAAATGGCCTACTTTTCCTTTGGAACAGTTTCCTTATAGGTTAAATGAGGAAGGTGGTGTTGGCTGATGTAATCTCTGAGGTGTCTTTCAATTTGTGATATATGATTCCTATGTTTTAAGGCATTCCCTCTGAACTCTGCATTCACTCATTCTTACATTGAATGATTAACAGGCATTGTTTAGAGGCCTCCTATGGACAAGCAGAATGCTTGACCAACGTCTAGACAGATACAGAGAAAGTTTTATATATGTAGTCTATACACGAGGTGCTAATATTGGAATAATACCTTTTCACTATATACTGACATAGGTAAAGTTGCAAAAATTTTCAGTTTTTTGTCTAACCAGTTTGGGCTGTTTATTTTTTTTTCTTTTGGGTTTTTTCTTTACTGAACAGAAATATCTGCTTTAATATACCCACATATTCGCACAACAGATGATAGTAAAATAGTTCATAGATGGGAAGAATGAGGAAGGGAAGTACAAGAAAGAGTCATGTTTAGAAAAATGTTGGATGCTTTCACAGTGTTTGTATTTTTTGAGTATGAGATAATCATTGGGGAAAGACTTTTCAATAGTAAATAAACATGATGAAATCTGAATAAGATAAAAGGACGTCAAGGGGGAACCAGGTGGCACAGTGGAAAGATTACTGGCCCTGAAGTCAGGAGGACCTGAGTTCACATCCAGCCTCAGACCAAACACTTGACACTTACTAGCTGTGTGACTCTGGGCAAGTCACTTAACCCCAATTGCTTAAAAAAAAAAAAGGACATCAGGCAAGTCATAGGAAAGATGGATTTAAATAGGGATAGGTTGGAGACAAAGAAAACATTTAGCAAGCCATTATAGTAATTCTATCACTACACCAAAGTGAGAAATTGGATGTCGCTTGAGCGAGACAGCATCATTGAGTCTAGATCAACATTCATTATGCCTAAGCAATAGGAAAGCAATAGGAAAATTTTCCCTGAAATACTAAGAAGTATCATTGTAACCCATCCATTTAGAATTGAAAAGCAATTTTATAAACTCCAAACCAATATTTCTTGAAGCATTCTCCTTTCTTCACCTATCATTTTGTCCAACCCTTTAGGCTCATTAGAAGATGGTGCCTTCATATCAGATGATCTGTTTTGTCCATCACTGTTGGACAAAATCACAGACTTTTTAATAAATATTCAATATCACCCTCTATATTGTTTTCTTGATGTATAAAATAGAGAACAAAGGAGTGAGCCATTATGAATAAGCCAGTTGGTTTGTGGTAGCTAAGGGGGAAAAAAGATATCAATGAAAAGGAAATAATTAAAAGAGGGTGTTGTGAGATGCACATTCCTATGCTCCCTTAAAGGAAAATTCACAGAATAACAGAGTAAATGAGTACTAAGGAATATCCAATATAAATGAATAATCACCTCTGGATTTCTCTAGCTTGCTGTGTTTGTACTTAGTTCTCAAAGAGAACTATGATATCAGAGAGTTGATGACATGACTTGCAATTAACTTTTTTTTGAGTGAGGGAGGGCTATGAAAGGTCACCAGCCTCACTTTCTTCTCCAGGGCCATCTGGGTCCAGTGGCCAGATATTTATCAGGAGGACTGGAGATAGGTCAGGATGCAATGGGAAACCCTGGTACTTTTAAGCTAAGGTATTTTCAGGTTCTCACTTTGAGTGAGGTAACAGCTCATTCAGTGAATAGAATAGAATAGACCTCTTTAAGAAGTGAATCAAGAAGGCCAGCTAGGTGGCTCAGTGGATAAGCTCTGACCTTGGAGTCAGGAAGACCTGAGTTCAAATCCAGCCTCAGAAACATCACACTTACCAGGTGTGTGACCGTGGGCAAATCACTTAACCTCAACTCACCTAAAGGTCAAAAAAAAAAAGGGAATAGAGGGATGGCCTCTTTAATAAAAATAAAAAAAAAAAAAAATCAAACTGTCAGGGGAAAGCCCTCAGGTTGCTGGCCGATTACTATTTGCATTCACTCTGAGCCAGGGGGGCCCAAAAAACAAGCATTAGGTGGTGCTTGGGCAGGGACCTATTGTTGTCCAATCTATGAACTCCAGAGTGAATTGGCTTGGTCTTTGAGGGAGAGAGAGGTCTAGGCAGTAAACCCCAATTGAACTAGGCAGCTTTCTGCCATCAAAATTTACCTTCCTTTGGGCAAAACACCATCAGGTAAAGGAAGAGGAGAGGGGAAGGGAGGTGAGGGGAAGGGAGGTGAGGGAAAGGAAAATAAGACAATTATTAAAAAAAAAAACTGTTCTAGTAAAGAGACTATACTAAATGAGAAATCTACAAGCAAGGCAATGGTAGATTATAATAAGATGTTTTTCAAATTAAATTTTGGATGGGGCTAGCCATCTGTTCAGCCAAACCATTGAGTTTCAGGCTGGATTCTTCCTAGGCTTCATGCTGGAAGAGAATGACTGACTGTAGGATCAGGGTTTTATAAGTCAATAGGTTATTCTGAGACTATCTAGAAGGATTGACTGATTATGTCTAGATTACTCCCCTCCCACCAAAATAAACAAACATACAAATAAACAAAGGAACTAACATATCAATGAATAAATAAATGAATAAATGGATGAAGCACAGGGCCTGAAGTGGGGAACAATCTATCTGTGTGACCCTGGGAAAGTCACTTAAACCATGTTTGCCTCAGTTTCCTCACCTGTGAAGTGAGCTGGAGAAGGAAATAGCACACCACTCCAGTATCTTTACCAAGGAAACCCCAAATTGGGTCACAGTGAGTTGGACAGGACTGAAACAGTTAAACAAGAACAAATGGTCAGAAAGTCTCTATGAAGTGTGGAGAATATATTTCTATCAGAGACTTCTGTACAGAGCTTAGGTATTGCTTGTGGTATTGCCATAGAAATGACTTGCAATTGACTTTGTTTTGAGTGAGGGAGGGCTGTTCAGGGTCACAGCCTCACTTTCTCCTCCACTCCTAGTCATTCTCTTCCAGTATTGGGCAGAGGAGGAGCTCAGCCTCAGGCACACCAAGGCTTGGCTGAACACATGTCTCTAGCTCTGAAAAATGGAGGCTTTGGCAGCTGCTAGCTGCTCAGACCAATCACTCTCCTCATCTAAACCTATCCTTGTCCTAGAAAAAGTTAATTTTATTCTGTTTTTATCTTTAACAAGGAGTGGGTTTGGATAGTCAGGTTTTTAGGTGTCTGACTTTGCTCAATAGCTTCAAGGTAGAAGCAGGAGTAGAGGGCTGGTAGAAGTGGGGAAGCAGGAGAGGAGGACTGAAAAGATGAAAAGGGAGGGGTAAGTAGAAATAGAAAGTTGAATCACTTGGGGAAAGATGGAAGGGGAAAAAGGTGGAGAAAAGGAAAAGGGGTAGTATAGGGTAGAAGAAAGTAGC